AGGGGAAGCCACGGGCCAGGGTCCTTACGGATGCTCTTGCTCCACGCCATGCAAATGCTAGGTGCAGCTCTGACACCGGTGTTCATTTTGCAGCAGTTCATCAAGTGGAATGTTAGTGTCGGCACTTTCAGGAATGTTTGTTTTGTTATTAATTTAAAAATCATGAGGCCGGGCGCCGTGGCTCATGTCTGTAATCCCAGCAGTTTCGAAGGCTGAGGTGGGTGGATCTCTTGAGGTCAGCAGTTCGTGACCAGCCTGGCCAACATGGTGAAACCCTGTCTTTACTAAAAAAATACAAAAATTAGTTGGGTATGGTAGCGGGTGTTTACTGTAATCCCAGCTACTCGGGAGGCTGAGGCAGGAGAATCACTTGAACCTGGGAGGAGGAGGTTGCAGTGAACTGAGATTGTGCCACTGCACTCCAGCCTGGGTGACAGAGCGAAACTCCTGTCTCAAAAAAAAAAAAAAAGTCATACTTCTAAAGATCAAAGAAATACTGAGCTTTCTGCCTGGGACATAAGTGCTTGATACATGTTAGAGCAGCAGTATCCAGATGCAGTGCTCACCATAGCTCAGATGGGCCAGAACATCTTGCTTAATGCAACGTTGGCAGGGGAAAGCGCTAACTAATGGAACGTGGTTTCTTCCCATTTAAAACTGCCTTTTTTGGATAAAGGTTCATTCCCTCAGGTCTTCTCCTGCCCCATTCTTCTTCCCTTCACCTCAGGAGGCGTCTGAGCGAGGGAGAAGCTGGCAGACATCATGGTGCTGGTGGGTGGGGTGGGAGTTCTATTCCGCCTGTTCTCTGAGGCTCCCGCCCATGCCGTGGGCACATGGCCCCTCTTGCCTGGCCTTTGAGCACCAGCCTCCACCCTTGCTGCCTCTGCTGTTGAGGTGACTGCCGCTGGGCACTCACTGATGCTTGAGTTGAGTCCTCTCCTGTGGCCCAGGATGGAGCCGCTGACTCTGAAACTCAGTGGCAAGCTCCCCGCAGCTCCCAGCACAGGGCAGTCCCCTCAGAAGACTTGCTAAGTGTGCTCCCCCACTCCAAGGCAACCCCTGGCATTTATGTAAACTTGTATTTATGTATGTATGTATTTATTTTTGAGACAGTGTCTCACTCTGTTGCCCAGGCTGGAGCACAGTGGTGTGATCCCAGCTCACTGCAACCTCCACTTTCCTGGGTTCAAGTGATTCTCCTGCCTTAGCCTCCCAAGTAACTGGGACTACAGGTGCATGCCACCACCCCAAGCTAATTTTTGTTTTTGTAGAGACGGGGTTTCACTATGTTGTCCAGGCTGGTCTTGAACTACTGAACTGAAGCCATCTGAAGCCCACCTCAGCCTCCCTAAGTGCTGGGATTACAAGCCTGAGCCACTGCGCTGGGCCCATTTTAAACTCTTAATTCTCAGCTACCTTATTATTCTCTATTGCCAATAAGAGGGGGAAAAAAAGAAAAAATGAAAAAACAGGCAGAGCGCTTAGTGCCAGGCTGTCGGCAGGTATTTTCACATTAAACATTGGTCTCCTCAGCCAAAACTCACAATCCAGTAAGACAGGCATTTTAGCTGAACATTCTCATCCAACCCTAGGGTTATGCACTGAATTGTGTCCCAGAAAATTCACAAATTGAAGCTCGAATCCCCAGTGTTACTATATTTTGGGATGGGGCCCTAAGGAGGTAATTAAGGTTGAAAGAGGTCCTGAGAGTAGGACCCTAATCCAATAGGATCGGTGTCCTTGTAAACGGGAAGAAAAGAGCTCTCTCTTTCTTTCTCGCCGTGTGCGTACAGAGGAAAGGCCACTAAGGACACAGCAAGAAGGAGGCCGATTACAAGCCAGGAAGAGAGTCCTCACCAGAAACTGAGTTCTTCGGCACCTTGATACTGGACTTCTAGCCTCCCTCCAGAATAGTGAGAAAATGAGTATCTGTTGTTGAAGCCACCTAACATGTAGTATGTTGTTACAACAGCCTGAGAAGACTAATATACCTAGAGACCCAAATGTAAAGCCTTCTGGGAACCCAAGCTAATAGTCACTGAAGCATTCCTGGCTCTGAGCAGGTTTGTTACCTACGGTCACTGCTACTTCTAGGTTTCTTGGGACCCAGGGCCCACTGGAGTTATAGTCCCATTCTTTTTTGTTGTTGTTGTTTAGATAGTCTCACAGTGGCATGATCTCGGCTCACTGGAACCTCCGCCTCCCAGATTCAAGCGATTCTCCTGCCTCAGCCTCCCGAGAAGCTGGGATTACAGGTGCCTGCCACCATGCCCAGCTATTTTTCATATTTTTAGTAGAGATGGGGTTTCGTATGTTGACCAGGCTGATCTCGATTCAAGTACTCAGTCAAGGTCTCAAGTGATCCACGCACCTTGGCCTCCCAAAGTGCTGGGATTACAGGCATGAGCCACTGTGCCCGGACTATAGTCCCATTCTTTTCCCTGCCTTCATCCTCTAAAACCAGGTTCCAGCTCCCCTGCTGTATTCCTGTATTTCTCCTGGTACTCACCATGTCATTCCATTGGCTCAGGAATTCATCTGCAATGCAGGGAAATTCTTCAGGAGATTGTTTTGTTGCCATTTTCCTCACAAATAATTCCCACTTTGAGAAGCTTCAGACATGACTGTAAATTTCACTTGGGGCAGGAGGGACAGGGAATGGGAGTGCTCATGCCAAGGAAAGAGGTCGTGTTTCCCCTGCTTCATCCCCCAACCTTGGGGGATAAACCTTTAAGGAGGAATCAAGAGCTCCTTTATGGAGCCCATCTGGCTCTGAGGAGGAGCTGGGTCCTGGGCCTCAGCTGCTGCAGAGCCCCTCCTTCCCCTAGTGAGCAAACAGTTCCTGTTCCCAGGGAGTCCACCTCAGCCTCAGGGCTTCATCCCAGCAACTAATAAATTAGCCTAGGATTGGAGAGAGGGCCTTTCTTTTCTTTTCTTTTTTTTAGACGAAGTCTCGCTCTGTCGCCCAGGCTGGAGTGTGGCGGCGCAATCTTGGCTCACTGCAAAGCTTGCCCTCCTGGGTTCACGCCATTCCCTTGCCTCAGCCTCCCAAGTAGCTGGGACTACAGGCGCCCGCCACTGCGACCGGCTAATTTTTTTGTATTTGAAGCAGAGAGAGCTTTTCAAGGCAACAGAACCAGCATAGACTTCAGTGAAAACGACATAGATTTTGGAGTCAGATTAACAAGGCTGTGATTTTTGGCTGTGAGCCTTTCTGGGGGATCTTAAACCAGGCACTGTCATCTCTGAACTGCAGTGTTCTCATATGCCAAATAGGAAAAGTGATCCTGGCTTTGCAGGGTTGTAATGAAGATTTCCATTGTTTATGGAAATAGACATGTACCTCATTCACTCTCTTCTTCCTGAGTCAGTCTTGCTAATACATCTGAACTGTAATTCCCTTTCTGAATTTTGGGATGGGGTAGGATGGGGGGAATGGTGAAAGAGTGGTAGCCTTTTAAAAAATCCGATTTGGACCAGGCGCCATAGCTCACACCTCTAATCCCATTGTGGGAGTCTGAGGCAGGAGGATTTCTTGAAGCAAGGAGTTCAAGACCAGCCTTGGCAACAAAGCGAGACTGTTCCTACAAAAAAAAAAAAATTATTTTAATTAGCCAGGTGTGGTAGGCTGAGGCAGGAAGATCACTTAAGCCCAGGAGTTCAAGGCTGCAGTGAGCCATGATTGTGCCACTGTATTCCAGGCTTGGTGACAGAGCAAGACCTGTCTCAAATAAAATAAATAAAATAAAAAGTCTGATTTATCCTTTGTTGTTCAAGAAGTATGCTCTCAGAAAAAGCAGACTAACCATGATTGCTGCCCAAGCACATGTTTAGAAAGGCAAATCCACCCTCCAAATGATACATTAGTGCGCAATCATTCAAAGACTAAATGTTGGTGACTTTGGCAGTGGGGATTTTTTTGAGTGTATGCATGCATGAATGAATGAAAGGCCTTCCTAAGGTCTGGCTTGGAGGCATTTACTGGGCCTTGGGGGCATTCTCAGCTCTCCTTGGATTACCCACTCTCCCTTCCCTTTGGGGTGCTTTGGAGAGAGACTGCAAGGTACTGAGACCAGCATCTTGGGAACTGCAGGACATGCCTTGCAAAGACAGATACTTTCTGGGAGTCATTTTTCTGCCTGTTCTGCAGACACTTGGTGATGCCACTTGGGGTATGTTATGCCCTGCAGTGGAGACAGTCTGCTAGCTAGACCTACATCCTGCCCCCCTACCTTATTTTGCTATTGTGAAACCAAAGGGCTAGCCCAGTGGGGGACAGGGGGGAGCAAAAGAACACAATAAGGTCACAGGGCCCTGCTCTAAGTGTGTCCCTGTGTGCATGCCATAGGGGTTGGGGGCCAGAGACAAGATCCCCCTGGTGCTGAGGAAACAGCAATGGATTTAGAGCCCTGAAGACTGGCATTTCAGTCCTACCTCCTTACTGGCTATGTAAGTTTGAGCAACTAGTTTACCTTCAGAAGCCCTGTTGCTTCACATGTAATACACAAGTGCTAACAAAGCCATCTCAGGGCTGGTGTGAGGAATAAATTTAACATTTATTTATTATTCACTTTAACCGTGAATGCAAAAGGGCTTAGTTGAAGAGTAAAGTAATAAAAACTTATTGTGGTTGACTTTGGCTGTGAGTCAGATGATTGGTGTGTTTGACTATATTATTGTCCATCAATATTCAGTGTCCTTCCCCGGAGTCAGGCTTGGTCATGTGACTTGGCCAAATGTGAGCAGAAGTGCCCCATCAGTTCCAAGGGGAAGTTTAAAAGCTTTTATTAGCAGTTCCCCAGCTCTCTTTCCTTTGCCCTAGGGATGGAGGGAGCATGTGTGAAAATGGGGCCCTGGGGAGTTGGGGACCGGAGTGATGAGAATGAGCACAGCTCCCAGGCTACTGCGTGATGGGCCCCTTACACCGGCTGGTTTAGGCCACTGGGATTTGGGGGTTGTTACTGCAGCAAAACCTAGCCTGGCATCACCATACAGATAGGTGCCGTTTCTTTATGCAGTTTAATAGAAAAAAACAAAACAAAACAAAACACGCACAAAGAAAACACATAGAAAATAATAGCAAACACAACACAGGCTTGGGGAGATGGCAGGCGAGCCTGAGCTGGGTGCTACTTGGTGCTGCTCTTTGGAAGAGGCCGGTAGACCCCGACCACCACAGCGTGGTCCCTCTCATAGGGCTCCAGGGTCAGCTGCTCTTGGGGCTTCAAGTTCTCCTGCTGCAACTTCCTCACCTCAGAAGCAAACACAGCCTCGGCAGATGCGGTGGAGTCGATGCAGTTGGCCTTGATGGAGATGAGAAAGTGGCCCCCGTTGCGCAGGAAGGTGTGGGCGTTCAGGGCCACGATGCGGGACTGGTCGGGCTGGGCCACGTCGGCGAAGATCACGTCCACCATCCCGATGAGCATGCGGTACTTGAGCGGGTGCCGCGCGTCCTCCAGGACAGGGATGATGTTGGTGCGCTTCTTGGCCACGTTGACCAGATCGCGGCCGGCGCGGTGGGAGAACTCGACGGCGTAGACCAGGCCGTCTGGGCCAATGATGTCGGAGACGTGGGAGACAGTGGTGCCCGACGCGGCGCCTAGGTACAGCACCTTGGACTTGGGCTTGATGTGGATCTGGTCCACCCCGCCCAGGATGGCCGCGGCCAGCTTGGAGCGGAATGGGTTCCACGTGCGGTACTCCTGCTTCACGCCGCCCTCGGTCACTGTGACGCGCCTCTCGCCGTACACCGACTGGCCCGGCACCATGTTCAGCGTGACCAGCGCGTCCTCCGCCCCGCGGTAGATGAAGACGCCTTCGTGCCGGTGCGGCTCCACCGACACCACCATGGCGCCCTTCCTGCGACGGCTCTTGCTCTTGGCCACCCCGCCCCGCCGCTGTCCGCCGCCGCCGCCGCGATCCTTGTCGTCTCCGCCGCCTCGCCCCCGGCCCCGGCCGCCCCCGCCGAAGCCGCGCGCCCGTGCCCCGAACCCGCCCTTGCCCCCCGGGCCGCCGCCGTCGCCCCCGCCGCCCTTGCCAGCGCCGCCGCCGCCGCCTCGGCCCCCGCCCCAGCCGCCCCAGCCGCCGCCCCCGCGGCCGCCCCCACCGCCCCCGCGCGAGCTCGCCGCCGACTTCATGGCGCGCCCCGGGGCGGGTGCCGCGGGTTACCGGTGACTCGGGGCGGGTGTCAGGGGGCTCCGGTGGCTCTGGGTGGTCGTCCCGGCGCCTGTCCGCGGGGTTAGCGAAGGCGGGCGGCGGGCGGCGGGGGCGGGACCGGCTCTACCGCAGTCCCCTCATCCCGGAGCCGCCCCTTGACGCAGCGGCTGTGGCGCGATTGCATCACACCCGTCCCCGCGACCCTGCGGCCCGGAAGCCCCGCTTCCCAGCCTGCGTGCAGACGCAGCCTGCTCCTCTTCGCTCACCCTGCCCCTTCCCCATCTCCCGCCTTCCCCAGGGACCCTTGGCACCTCCCTGGGGCGTCTCTGCGGCAGGAGAGGGGGAGGTAAGCATCAGCGTAGGTCCTGGCTGTGCCACCAGTTCTAGGAATATTGATCAGCAAGTAAGTGTTGATTCTTCAGTGTGAATGGGGATGTACAGAGAGCCAAAATGTCACGTTCATCCTCGAAGTCTAGTCTATGCTTCAAAATCACACTCAGTCTGCAGCATTTTCTGGAGGAAAAAGAGAGAGAGAAAGAAAGAGAAAGAAAGAAAAGAAAGAAAGAGAGAGAGACAAGAAAGAGAAAGAGATAGAAAAGAATAATTGGGCAGCAATAAGGGCAGCAACAAAGAGAGGAAAAGAAAAGAACAAAAGGAAAATAAAAGAATAACTGGGCACCACCAGTGGCCCTAAGGCCGCAACGCAGAAGCGTTAGCGTTTGGTCAGCACCAGGGACAGCGACAGCAGTTGGGGCCGTCTACTGCTGGGGGCTTTGGGGCCCACACAAGAGCTGGGAAAAGCAGGATAGGTGGTAAAACAACTGGCCAGCCTCCCGTTAGTTGAAGTAAGTGTCTACTCCAGAGAGAGAGAGAGAACGCGCACCTGAATTGCTGAGCATGTATCGAACACCTGGTATGTGCAGTATGACTTTCGTTCCATCCTGGACCACAGCTCTTCCTGTCTCATACTCATGGACGGCAATGCCAAGTCTGGTTTTCCCTGAGAACTGGAGTGTCTCCTTAATGGGGACCAGAATTTTATACACTGGAATGTGAACAAGAAATCAGTGAGCGAAATGTATGATTCCTGATACTCTACTCAGAGGTTTCCACTTTTGCTGTAAGTCGAATATTTCCAAAATGATGAACTACACTTGCTGTCTGTGAGGGTTAATTTTATTTGTCACCTTTACTGGGCTATGGGGTGCCCAGATATTTGGTCAAATAGTATTCTGAGTGTTTCTGTGAGGGTGTTTTTACATGAGATTAACATTTAAATTGGTATATTGAATAAAGCTGATTGCCGTTTAGGATGTGGGTGGGCCTCATCTAATCAGTTGAAGGCAGAAATAAAATAAAATCCTTCCCCAAGGAAGAGAGAATTCTCCTGCCCAATGGCCTTTCGACTGGCACATCAGCTCTTTCTGCCTGACAACCTTTAGACCAGGACGTTGGCCCTGCAGATTTTGGACTTGCTGGTCTCCATAATCACATGAACCAATATATGTCATATATATACACACACACATATATATATCCTACAGGTCTGTGTCTTTGGAGAACCTTGAATAATAGAGATCCTGAGACAAAGACTTGAGTCCAAGTGGTTTGTGAGTTGATCCCAGGAAGCACATGTGGGGTGGGGGTGCAAAAACGAGATAGAAAAGATAGAAAGGTTAAGAAAGAACTGGGCACAGTGCCTCACACCTGTAATCCCAGCACTTTGGGGGGCCAAGGTGGGAGGATTGATTGAGCCCACGAGTTCAAGACCAGCCCTGGCAAGATAGCAAGACCCTGTTTCTACAAAAATAAAAGAAACTTAGCCAGGTGTCATGGTGTGTACCTGTAGTCCCAGCTACTGAGGAGGCTGAGCTGGAGGGCTCGCTTGAGCCTGGGAGATCAAGGCTGCAGTGAGCTGTCCTCATACCACTACACTCCAGCTTAGGTGACAGAGCGGGACCCTGTCTCAAAAAGAAAAAAAAAAAAAAGAGGGTACATTAATGAGAAGATGACCACAGTGGAAAATGGGAGCTCAACTGCTCTGAGTACTCTCTGAGAAACTGTGTGGAAGGCATCTCAGAATTGTTCTGCTGCAGGTTGGAGGCTGGGGCATTAATCTACTGTCTTAATTTGTTTTATGTTTCTATACCTGAGACTGGGTAATTTATAAAGAAAAGGGCTTTATTTTTCTTTTTTTATTCTAAGACAGGGTCTCACTCTGTCACCCAGGCTGAGTGCAGTGGCACAATTATGGCTATTGCAGCCTTGATCTCCCAGCCTCAAGTAGTCCTTCCACCCCAGCCTCCTGAGTAGCTGGGACTACAGGTGTGTGCCACCACACCAAGCTAAATTTTTTATTTTTTATAGAAATGGGTTCTCACTATGTTGCCCAGGCTTGCCTCAAACTCCTGGACTCAAGCAGTCCTTCTGTTTCAGTCTCTTAAAGTGCTAGGATTACAGGTGTGAGCCAGAGTGGCCAGCCACGTTTCTTTCTATATAGGTATAAACCATCGTGCCTGACAATTTTTTTTTTACTTTTTGTAGAGATGCAACCTCATTATGTTACCCAAGCTAGTTTCCAGCTCCTGGCCTCAAGCCATCCTCCTGCCTCAGCCTCCTGAGTTGCTGGAATTCTAGGCACAAGCCACCACACTTGGCACCAGGTATACTTTTGTTTACAATTGACTTGTTATTCCACAAGATGTGCCCCATAGTAATGATAATAATTACATCTGTGACTAGGCCTCAGTAGTAGACATGGGGTACATGAATCATTCCCATAGATTTAAAAAATGCATGAGAAATTTTGCTTATTTTCTCACACAACCATTCCAACAAACTGCCCAAGGAGTAACTAGCCATGATTGATGTGAAACCAGAGGTAATGCTCTATAACCCCATCCCCATTCTCATTATACTTTAAGCATCCATGCATGAAGAAACTTGTTTTCTCTAAGCCATGGTCCACTTCCAAAGGTGACAGACTCTAGGGATCTGATCTCCACCCCAGTGACAGGTGCAGCTACATTTGCTCAAGAGGAGTTGGGCTATGACGCAGTAACACAGAACTCCAAAATCTCAATGTATTAATACAACTATGTTTATTTCTTATGTTTTATGTCCACTGAGAGTCAGTAGGAGGTTTGCACCACACAGCCACTAAAGAACTCAGGCCCCATCATCTTGTGGCTGCCACATGAGAAAAAAGAGGGCCTCCACTGTACCGCTGAAGAATAGAGTGCAGATGACTCACAACCTTTTTGTATGTTTAGTCAAGACTTTGACACAATCATATCTACTCACCACGGATTGCAGCCTTGATATCCCAGGCTCAAGCAATTCTCCCACCTCAGCCTCCTGGCTGATGACTGGCCAAAGTCAGTCACATGGCCTGCCTAGCTGAAAGGCAGCTGAGATATGTGGGTGCCATAATTGGGGAACAGTAAATGTTTTTACCTAGGTGTCTATTGCATAATGCCAGCTGGCACACCTGGATCAGTGTACCCAACACAAATACCTCAGGTGAAATTTACTGTTCAGCATGTATATATTTAAATGTACTCATCAAGACAAATTATAATACCTCCTTCCTAACACATGACTAAAACTCAGAATCATAGTCAACTCCCAATAATATATCTAATATAGCTGGTTAATTAATTAGAAAAAGAAAATCTTCTCCCTTTTTCTAGCCTCTGGACCTTGGAGAGTTGCTAAAATCCCTTATTTGGGATGTCATTATTGTTTGGCCATTACCTCTGCTGGGGGACACTTCATCTCTTGGTGGCTCAGACTCTCACTCCATTCCCCACTGTAGAACTAGTGGCTGCCATTCAGGAAATGCTCAAAAAGCTTAGCTGGGCTACTTTTGCAAAGGTCTTCTTTCCATAAGACACCTTAGAAATTCTCTGTAATTCTTCATTTTATGGAATAAGAATCTGAGATTTGGGCTGGGCGCAGTGGCTCATGCCTGTAATCCTAGCACTTTGGGAGGCTGAGGTGGGTGGATCACTTGAGCTCAGGAGTTCGAGACCAACCTGGAAAACATAGACCCCATCTCAATATATAAAAAAATTTCTACAAATATCAAACTCCTACAATCTAAAATCCCCACAAAAATTACAGTGAGTCTAACTGTGCTCCCCTTCAATCCAGTACATTTTATTTTTTATAAACACCATGTATATGTATGTAATTAAATTGGTATAAAAATGCAAAGCAAGCCAAACAACAAAACAAAGCAAAAAAAATTGTTTTACTTTAGATGACCCCAGGTACTCTCATTAACCAGTGAAATTTCTATAATGCAACCAAGTATTTTTTTGATGTGTACAAATGTATGGGGTACATGAGAAGTTTTGTTACATGTATAATGCAGTGATCAAGTCAGGGTATTTAAAGTATCCATCACCAGAGTACAGTACATTTTTATTAAGTATCGTCACCCTACTCAGCTATCAAGCATTGAATTTGTTCCATCTTACTGTATGTTTGTACCTTTTTCTTTTTTTTTTTTTTTTTTTTTGAGACAGAGTCTCCCTCTGTCACCCAGGCTGAAGCGCAGTGGCGTGATCTCAGTTCACTGCAACCTCCTCCTCCCAGGTTCAAGCGATTCTTGTGCCTCACGCTTCATGAGTAGCTGGGATTATAGGCACATGCTACTATGCCTGGTTTTGTTTTTTTTTTTTTTTTGTATTTTCAGGAGAGATGGGGTTTCACCATGTTGGCCAGGCTGGTCTCGAACTCCTGACCTCAGGTGATCCACCCATCTCAGCCTCCCAAAGTGGTGGGATTACAGGTGTGAGTCACCTCGCCAGGCCTGTATGTTTGTACCTTTTAACCCACTTCTCTTCATCTTCCCTCCTGCACCCATTCACCCTTCCCAGTCTCTTGTTATCTGTTTTTCCACTCTCTACCTCCATATGATCAAATTTTTTAGCTCCCAGCCAGGCACGGTGACTCACAGCTGTAATCTCAGCAGTTTGGGAGCTGAGGCAGGTGATCACTTGAGCCCGGGAGTTCAAGACCAGCCTGGGCAACACGGCAAAACCCCATCTCTACCAAAAAATACAAAAATTAGCCAGGCATGGTGGCACATGCCTGTAGCCCCAGCTACTCAGGAGGCTGAGGTGGGAGGATCGCTTGAGCCCGGGAGGTGGAGGTGATGTGGTGTGATGATCACGCCACTGCACTCCAGCCTGGGCAACAGAACTAGACCGTTTCAAAAAAAAATTTTTTTTTAGCTCCCACATATAAGTGAGAACATGGGATATTTGTCTATTTGTGCCTGGCTCATTGCACTTAAGATAATTACCTCCATCGACTGAATATTATTTAGCCAGTTTTCTAGAATATTAATCCTGGCCATTTTGGGCTGACATTGGCCAAGAAGCAAAGTCAAAAATGAGAAAATTAGCATAAAATTGTAGATGCATATTAACTTCTCTGTACCATTTATGCTCTAGTTTAAATCTGCTTTTAAAATTTATTTGAGGCCGGGCGCGGTGGCTCAAGCCTGTACTCCCAGCACTTTGGGAGGCCGAGACGGGCGGATCACGAGGTCAGCAGATTGAGACCATCCTGGCTAACACGGTGAAACCCCATCTCTACTAAAAAATACAAAAAACTAGCCGGGCGAGGTGGCGGGCGCCTATAGTCCCAGCTACTCGGGAGGCTGAGGCAGGAGAATGGCGTGAACTCGGGAGGCGGAGCTTGCAGTGAGCTGAGATCCGGCCACTGCACTCCAGCCCGGGCGACGGAGCAAGACTCCGTCTCCAAAAAAAAAAAAAAAAAATTTTTATTTGAGTAAGTGTGGGCCAGGTGCTGTGCAGTGGTTCACGCCTGTAATCTCAGCAGTTTGGGAGGCTGAGGTGGGCGCATCCCTTGAGGTCAGGAGTTCACGACCAGCCTGGCCAACGTGGTGAAACCCTGTCTCTACAAAAATACAAAAATTAGTCGGGCATGCTCACTTTGTCACCCAGGCTAGGGTGCAGTGGCATCATCACAGCTCACTGTGACCTTTGCCTCTCAGGCTCAAGTGATCCTCCCACCTTGGCCTCCAGAGTAGCTGGGACTACAGGCATCTT